GGACAAACGGACTTAATGGTACAGAGTGCGAAGATAGAGAGATAGAGAGAGAGAGAGAGGGAGGGAGAGGAAGAGAGAGAGGAGGCATTACAATGTTTGCTTTGTTGATTTACGTGCCTTGGTGTCCTTCAATTGCTTCTTCTTTTTTGTACAGCTGCGGCATATATTTAATGGGCGTCGCCACGCCCAGACCCTCAATTACGACAGCTCTTTTTATTACGCGTCTATTTTTTCCTTCTTATTATTATTTATTCATATGCTCTGCAGAGATCTGGAGATAACCACCTCGTTGACAAAACGCGCACCGGAGCCGCGGCTCTCCATTGGCGTCAGCCAGGATGGACAGAAGTTTACACAAGACTTGACTGTTAAGTCGGTAGGTAGATATACTTATATATACACACACACACACGCATGTGTACATCTCTCATCTATTTATGCTCACTAATATGCTCGCAGGGCACACCACTGACCATGGAAATCAACTTGGATGAGGACTCGGCGCCGGTTTATGGCCTGGGCGTCAATTATTTGGATGTTACAGACACGCACACCTCCTCCGAGACGCTGATCTTCAAGGGGTACGTACGAACAACAACAACAGCAACAGCATCAATTATCCCCAACTAGTTTGTGTGTTAATCTTTTGACTAATCTTTCTGTTGCAGCTGCACTGTGGATCCGTATCTCTTTGAGAACTTCAACACCATCGATGGGGATATATTGAGCGCCAAGTTCAAGGCCTTCAAGTTTCCCGATTCCTCCTATGTGCAGTTCCGCGCCACGGTCAATGTTTGCCTGGACAAGTGCCTGGGCACCCAGTGCTCGAACAATCAGGTGGGCTTTGGCCGGCGCAAGCGTGAGATTAGCGCTGCGAATAAGGTCTATGAGATCTCATTGGCCATGTTCCTGCGGGTCAATGACAATGAGGGCATTAACAAGAGTACGTTTTTAAGACAGCTGTAAACATTTTTTGATTTTGCCTTTTGCTAATTGCTGCATTTCTCTTGGCAGATGAGGTGCTGCAGCTGGAGGAGAAGCTGCGCGAGCTGAAGTTGGCCAATCAGCGCTTGGCGCGCAATAGTCGAGGCAACTTTGCGGAGCTGAGCCGCAGCATGGAGCAGACGCCCGCCAGCAGCGCAGTGCCCGCCTTCGTGGTGGATGAGCGAGAGCTGGGACAGCTCAGCTCGGCTGCTGTCCAGCCTGTCATGTTCAGCCTTTGGGCGCTGGTCGTTGCGCTGTGTTGGCGCCTCATGTAAATAGTCGCGAGAATATGTATGGCAAAGTGTATATCTCAAAAAGGAGGGCGTTCTGGTTGTTAATCAGGTCCAAGCTGCGTGTGTGTATGGCAATAATAATATTAATAATAATGATAATAATTAAAAGATAAAAGCAAAAATAACAAATACGAAAGAGAAAACAAACAATATATATGTACTACCTATTACTAATAGATACTTATGTAACTGCCATTTATAAAACGTAATTACAATTAATTTTAATGTGAGCAGAACCTAAGGAAAACAACAACAACAACGGCAACAACTTAAAAAACAGCTACAACAAACAGTGATTCTTATAAACATTTCGATAAAAACATATTAAATTGGTCTTACGAATAAGCACCTACTAGTCTTATAAGTGTAACTGTTAAGCTAATTTAATTAATGACTAAAACTAAATGAATTAATAAAATTAAACAATCCAATTTGTGTGTAGTTTTGTATATAACAGAAAAGGCACGTTTAAATTGCGCGCGTAGTAGCTTAACATATCACTGTTATGCGTACAGTGCCATTTTGAGTACGAATAACAGCTATAGTGCTGCTAAACATTGAAGAGCAAAACAGCTGACAGTTAAAGTGTGACCGGATCTGTGCTCATTTAGAATACCATAAGCACATCTAACAACAAAACCGTTTTTATAATTAGGTGGAAGAAGCAACGTGTGCGTTTTCGTTTGGTTTACGCTATTGTAACGCTTTTGCCAGGCTGGCGCATTGTGCGAAAGAACAACAGAGTTGGCAGTTAAACAAGGCGCTGGTGCGTAACGCGCGATCCAATTGATAAATGTAGTAACATCGCTAGCCACCACTACCCGCCCCCAGCAGCCGTCGATGCAGCATCAACCGTGTAAAATTTTGCCGCTGCAAGGGCTGCTTTTGCCCAACGCATCGACGACAGCATTGCGAACAACAACAAAGCTTCCACACCCACCGATACATTCAGCACGGAATAGATGAGCGCACCTGGCGCTTCATATAAACAATTTCTATTTTCACGTAACAGACGACCAGTGCCAGCCACAGCGAACAGATGCTACGCGACTAGCTGGAAAGAGAAACGAAAGAGAATTAGTAACGGAAACAGCAACAACCACACTTAATGACCACCTAATCTCACACACCCACACATAAACACAGACGTTGCAAAATGCGTACACGTAAGGTACAAATTTTGGTTATTGGCGTCCTCATCCTATGGACATTCGTCACGTACTACATATTGCTGCACAACAGCAGTGTTCAATCGGATACGAAGCAGAAGGAGCAACAGCAGCTGAAGCAGCTGTTCCCGAAAGCATTACTGGAGCAATCGAAAAGTTTGAAAATAAGTGATACACTTGTGAGTTTTCTCAAATTGAGATACATGAATCAGGAGACGAGCACCACGCCGAAAATAACAATTGTTGCCGCTGAAATATCAAACGAACTGCAGGAGCAGCAGCCGAAGACAACGGCCACAACTTCCGCGCAAATACCAACGAAAACATATCTGGCAAATGGAGAGCCTGTCATTCCCATTCTGGTATTTGCCTGCAATCGCATTTCGGTGGTCAAGTGTCTGGAGAATCTCGTGCAATATCGACCCAGCGTCGAGCAATTTCCCATCATCGTATCGCAGGTAAATCTCTGACATTCAATAGCCACATACAATATCTAATGTACCTCTCCATTACAGGACTGCGGCGATGAGTTGACCAAACAAGCCATTCAATCCTTTGGCAATCAACTAACGCTCATCGAACAGCCCGACCAAAGCGATATTATGGTCCTGCCCAAGGAAAAGAAATTCAAGGGCTACTATAAGATAGCACGCCACTATGGCTGGGCTCTGAACACCACCTTTCATGTAGGATTCGAATATGTAGTCATTGTGGAGGATGATTTGAATGTGGCGCCAGATTTCTTTGAATACTTTTTGGCCACACACAAGCTGCTCAAGCAGGACAAGAGTCTTTGGTGCGTCTCCGCATGGAATGACAATGGCAAGGCAAATGTGGTGGATATCGGCAGCCCAGAGCTGCTCTACCGCACCGATTTCTTTCCCGGCTTGGGCTGGATGCTAACCAAGGATCTGTGGAGCGAACTCTCAGTCAAGTGGCCCAAGTCGTATGTATAAAGTAAAGTATATTCTATGTAATATTATTAATCATTTATATTTTAAAGATTCTGGGATGATTGGATACGACATCCAGAGCAGCGTAAGGATCGTGTTTGCATTCGACCAGAAATCTCAAGAACACGTACTTTCGGCAAAATTGGTGTTTCCAAGTAAGTGCCCGATTTTGGCTACTAATGTAATTTCTATAAATCTTATAAATTCTTCTTTCAGCGGTTTGTTCTTCGACAAGTATTTAAAGCATATTAAGCTGAGCGAGCACTTTGTGCACTTCACGAAAATGAATTTGAGTTACTTACTTAAGGTGCGTATTACTTATGTCTTTATATTGCTGTGCTTTTCACTTATGTATATTTGCTGTTTTAGGATAACTATGATAATACGTTCTTGAAGCAAGTGTACGTGTTGCCCTTGGTTACCTTTGACGAGCTGCGTCGGAATCTCATTGCCAAGGAGGGCCCTGTGCGCATTCAGTACAACAATCGCGATCAATATAAACGCATCACTCGAATGTTGGGCCTCATGGATGACTTCAGGGTGAGCTTGACGCTAATGTTGTTAACATCGATATGTTGAAACATTTATCTTATCTAATTGATAGAGTGGAGTGCCACGCACAGCATACCATGGCATCGTGTCGTTCTACTATAACAAGCGACGTGTACATTTAGCGCCAAGTGCTAACTGGAAAGGTTACGACTTATCATGGAGCTAACATCACTAAATTAGTTATCTATTAGCTAGAGTCTAAGCAACAGCTCAATGCAACCCGTAACGAATCAAAATGTTTGGTTAAAAAACAATGTTTGCAATACCAAAAAATAGTACTAATAGTTTATATATACATACTATTAAAATGATATATTTCTCATGACATAGCTTAGTCGTAAGTGTAAAATTAAATGGAAATTTCGCAACCAGTCCTAAAACAGTGTAAGAACAGACTAGAACAGTTTCTATATATATGTATGTATATTAATTTGTAATACCTGTGCAGCGAGGCAGCTCCAATCGTGTGTTGAGTCACAGACCGCAACTCCCCCCCCTCCTAAAGATATGTAACCGAAGCAATAGTAAGCAACGACCAGAGGCATGTTGGAAAGTATTAGATTTTATATATGTATATGTAAATAGTCAGAGCTGTCGCTGACTTTGTTGCAATGTTAATTCTGTTAATTCGCGTTAATTTACTGTACAAATAGACCTTTAGTTGTTAAGTTCACTAAACTCAACTCCAACTCCAGACCGAGCTCGACATTAAGCATAAGTTGTATGTGATTTTGTTTTATATAATTGTAATTTGTATTTGAATGAACGAAAGAAAAGAACGAGAAAGAGAGAGAGAGAGAGAGAGAGAGCAGCCAACAAACAACCAACCCACTTGTAACATAGCATAGCCATAGTTAAAGTTAACTCTTAAGCATTTCTGATGACTGGCACACAAACACATACACACACACACACACACACACTCACACAGAGACTCCAGTGAATCAACACAGACTCGATTGCCATCAGCCCCTTGTGTGCCACTGTCATATAGTGATAGCGACCCCAACCTACAGACAACACATGACAACAACAACAACAACAACACATAACATCTATATGACTTTAGGTATTTATATGAGCATATTTTTTGCGTGTGATGCATATAAAACATAAAACTGTAATAATAACTAATAACTAGTTTCATTATACATATAAATTGATTGGGCTACTCCACAGCTTCCTCATCTTCGTCCAGCTGCTCGCAGTCAATGTCGCTGCACTCGGACTCGGACTGCGTGCCACATCGACTACGTTGCGCCTGCGCCAGTGCCTCGTGTCCAAAGCCGCAGGAGATGCTGTTGCTGTTGCCGTTGCCGTTGCTATTGCTGCTGTTGCTGCTGTTGGCAGCTGGCAGTCCCTTGTGCAGCAGCAAATTGGCATTGGCATCGCCGAAGACACGCTCCAGTTCGGCCAGGCCATTGCTGGCACTCGGTTCCGTTTCCGGCGGCAGCGTGGCATACTTCAGCTGCAGATAGGACTCGCTGTGGCCGTGTGGCTGATAGTCAACGAAGCTGCTTGGATAGGGCTTGCAGCGTGGCACATAGCCAGCTGCTGTGGCAGCTGCTCCGCTCGTCGCCTGTGGCTTGGCCAGCCCGAAGGGCAGCGCAAAGTTCAGCGGTTGGCCACGCGACAAGATGGCATTCCGGGCACTCTCCATGACGCTGGAGGCGTGCAGCGGCGTCAGACCGGGTGCACTGGCTGGCGGTCCGTAGGGGCGCATGGGCGGGGCTGCTCCACTGCCATTCAGCATGATGGACTGTATGGGCGTGGGCCCGGCAGGTGTTTGGCTAAACAGCCAGAGGCGATCGCCCACAACCATGGGGCGTGCCATGCCGCCCATGCCCAGCTGTGAATAGTAGTGGGACGCAAGAGTTTCCACATCCGAGGTGTACTTTCTCTTCCACTTGGTGCGTCGATTCTGAAACCAAATTTTAATCTAAAAAAAAAAAAAAAAAAAAATTAATAATCATATTAGCCAATAGTTTCAGTTTGGCTAAGTGCACCTGCGTCTCGGTCAGCTGCAGCTGCTTGGCCAGCGCCGTTCGCTTCGCCACGGACAAATATTTGCCCCGCTCGAATTCCGTTTCCAGCGCCTTGATCTGTGCAGCGGAGAAGGCAGTGCGTGGACGCTTCTTGCGATCATCGTGCGCTGCAATCGAGAAAGGAATTTCAATTGGAATCTCAATTGCCATCGCCTGCCAAACAATTTGCGACTAATTCGAATTAGCTGATTGCCTGTTCAATCCAATTAGATGCCAATTGGCATTGCGATGGCACCCTGTATGCAAAACACTTTTAATTGGCAACATTTCATTTTGATTGTGGTCAGTGCATCTAATTGGCCATTTGGCAGACAAATTTACCCCCGCCCCTCTCCACCTGATTGCTAACAAATTGTCATATAAATTCTCTGTGACATTCAGTCGGAAAATGAGATAAGCTAAGATGTTGCCAATGGCGCAGCTTTTCCGCCCAACATTCTGCATCATTAGCGGGCGGCGCATTTGTGACGCCCCTCGGAAAAGATAAGATCTTGGATTATTTGTATGTGGATCGTGCAAATGACAGACGAGATCAGTCAACCGAGACATATTAGAGACTGATGCCATATTATAAATATTCCAACAATTAATCATAGATGACTGAAGAGAGGGAGGGAGGTAGTGAAGAGATATGAGGTGAATACACAAAGAAATTATTAAAAATAAGTTTCGATTTTGTTAACCTATTTGATATAAAAGTAATTTTTAAAAAAGGTTTATATTATTGTCTACAATGCTTCAGACAGCTACAATCATATTTCTAAAAAAAAAAAAAAAAAAAAAAAAAAATGGAAATTTTATTGGACCCAACAATTTATATTTATGCAAAATTTTGTTTGTAATATCTTCATATTATACATTGAGAATTGAAGTTCACCTAGTCTAGTGCCTAGCCTAGTGTCTCTTGTATGGAGATCTCGGTTATTAACTCCCTTATTTGTTTTCTCGGCGCATCGGGCTCGTCTTGTTAAGCTAGTGTTCGTACTTTGAACATAATTAGAATAACATTGATATAGTACAGCTGCTTGTTTACATAAATATATACAGATAATGACGAACAGCCCACTAAACACATTTTCGTGATCCAGCTTAATTAAGCTTTGACTAACTAAGTAGTCGATTCATTGAACTAATTAACATTTAACATACACTTGGCAGTTCAACAAGGAGTTTTTAATAATTTTAATCATTCGCTTAAATATTATAGTCAGTCCGTGGTTTTTGGAATATGACTTAATTTAAATTTGCAGCAATCTTTTCAACTTATTTATTTGTTATTATTATTTCTTTTTTTTTTTTAAATGAAAGCTTCTATATTTGTAAAATCATGCATAGCTCGCTCCACAGTCGATAGTAAATATAAAATAGCATATAATTATAAACTATGTGTTAATTATGTGATATGCTCTGTATATTCTGCTTTAAAATTGCATGAAATTATTTACAATTATAAGAATTAGCTCATCATAGAAAAGTTTGTATTTGATTGGAAGTTAGATGAACAATTTCCGTTATACATTTTTTTTTTTTTTTTTTTTTTTTTTTGTGCCCCGCTAATAATATACATTTTTTAAATACCTATTAGACTGCCTGAAAATTCGATAAATTATATAAAAAATGCTACCAAACATTCTGTTTTTTATTCAAAAAGACGGATTATGGTTTAATGATATTTGATTTTTCAGTACTGTGTCTATATAGCTATATAGGTACTCCCGGCAATATCCCGCCCTCTTGCCAACCAGCAAAATATAAATGAATATATATGAATATATCTACCCACCACTGCCATCGTCCGACGCTAGTTCGATATCACTTTTGTTGTCGTCCGGGCCATCCTCCAGGCAGCTCGATGTGGCGGGACTCGAGACACGCGAATCATCACAACTGCCACGCCCACTTGCATGAGACTGAGCCTCATGGATCACTTGATAGCTAGCCGCTTCATCAGCATAGTTTCTGGGCAAATGCGATTCGGGCTTGGCCAGAATTTGCTCGATTGAAAAACTGTGCGGATGGCGACGCACCACAGATTGAGCATTCATCGTAGACACTTGGACGTAGATCGGCGCGATACGGATCTACAGAGATGATCACGATTAAGATCGGAAGCAGAGACAACAGTGCGCGACGACTTGCTACGAAAAACTAATTTGAATTTCGAATATGCAACATATCCTGCGTATTATAGAACTCAGAACAGAAAATTGTGGGCGGGGCCTGTGGCTATATAGCGCGCTCTTTTCATTCGCCCGATCTGTGATCTGTGTGCTGTTGGAGAGAAAGGGAAAGCAACTCAAAGATGAAGACGAAGACGACACACACACACACATATACACGCACACACATGTGTTTATTTATAAAACATGTGTGAAATTGTCGCAGCCTCTCGTTGTGCCAGGGGCGTGTCCACTTAATGTGTATCTCCGACTGATATATGCGTGTCTCGTCTAAATATTATTTACTGGGTTCTTAGTCTGATCGCCGATGATTAAAAGTCATAATTTTTGGCTAATTGTTAACAAGTCGAGCTATTTAATATTTCGATTGCTTTGCTAAATATACTTAATAAGTTAGCCACCATAATTCATCAGCAAGTGCGTCTTACCATGTGGATGTATGAGTGAGTGTGCCTGTGCGTGTGTAGGCGTGAGCGTGTGTCGAGTTGTTGCTTATAGTCTAAAGATGAATGTACTCATCAATTTTTGCTTATTTCAAGTATGCGAATTCAATTTTCTTGAAGTTGAAATTGATTTGCAGTAAAATTCTTAAATTAAACTGAAATAATCTGAGCTTTGTATATTCCCAGTATTTTTTTTTTTTTTAATTATTTTATGTAACTCTTATAATCTAAATTATGATTCTGTAAGTATATTTTTATTAAGATTGGTATAGCTGATTTTTTTTTTTTTAAGAAAAATGTAAGAAATTTTAAGAAAATTTTCCACATATTTAAGAGCATAACTTCAGCTAAAAAATTAATTATGATTCATAATATATAAGATATAATATAATAGTAGTAGGCAGTAGTAGTATTTTATATAGTCGATTTTAATATTAAACATTTTCAGGTGATGATAATTTTATTAAAATTTAAAATATATAATTTATTTTAATTTATTTTTCTTTTTTGTTTTAAATAAATTCAAGGTGTAGAGGAGGAGATAATATAAATTTTTGATACTCGTTATTATTATAAATCAAAATAATTTTATTTTTTATACATGTACAAAGTATATATATATATTTCATTTATATATGTATTATAAATGAAATACTTAAATTAAATACTTAATCGACTTATTCTTAATGAGAAGAGATAGGATCAGTTGAGTTCTTACCTAAGCAAGCTCTGTTCAGAGTATTAAAAAACCTTTTCCGCCATTTGCAATTTTCTATTTTCAAATCGAATTTTCCCTTACCCCTCTTCAGATTTATTACCAATTCGCATTGCTGGCAGCCACACTTTTCGTGTAATAAACATTTTTGCCTGCTTGGATTTCTGAGGAACATGTAAAACGTTCATTAATTCCAAATTATTAACACATAATTCAGCCGAAAGAGACGGCAACAGTGCGAGCGAGGCAGATACAGAGAGCGAGAGGGAGAGAGAGAGAGAGAGAGAGAGAGAGAGAGAGAGAGAGAGAGTGAGAGGATGAATGCTGAGAAATTGCCTGTGGCTGAGGATAGTTTTCAATTGGCTGCCGGCCAATTATACAGGGTGTCTGGCGGCACTACGAACGCATTGCGATAATGTCTTCATTATTCATGCACAATTTGAGCAAACTATGTGAAAGCACGTTAATTAGTCGGCTAAACTATGGAGAGGAACCCGAAGGGCTGCCAAGAGCAGCAGCTGCCTAAATGGGGAGATCGGCGCGATGGTGGATCATCGTGAATCGTGGGCCCATCTATTTAGCCAGGCTGGCTGTCAGTTTGATTTAATTTAATGAGCATATTGCTTATGAGCCGCATGCCACATGCCGCATGCCGTATGCCGTATGCCGTATGCCGCGCATGCCGCCACATTCAAATCAAAATGACAACTTAATTTTCATAATTGCGCTTAATGAATATTCGACTATTGCTTGCCATATTTTAAATTCCGCCTGCCACAGAGACCCAAATGCACATCAAGCACTTGGCACTGGCATTCCAAATCAATTACCAATTTGCAGCCGGCCCACCGTGGCCAGTCCGTATAGTCAGTTCTTTAACGGCTAAACAATATTTTCTGCTCCTCATATTCAGATATCGCGTAATTCGATTCCCAACTTTTGGAGCCACAGTTCGAGTCGCAGTCGAGTCGTCCTCCGCTGGCATTTAACGTTAAATGGAGCGCAACCGTGTCAGCCCGCTGGCAGGAGACAAAAAATGAGAGAAAGAGAGAAAAAAGCATTTAATTAATACGAATGCATGCATCTTCATTATAAATCATCACTTCTCAAGTGTTTGTCAGGCGCACGCAACATAAATCACGACTCCGTCCGACTTCGTCTTCGACTACGGCTTCTTTTCCATGCTCCATCCTCCGTCGCGTGCATCACTCTCGCCCGTTTTTTGTGCGTTCTTCCCTCTGCTTCTTCTTCTTTTGTGTGTGTGTGTTTTGTCGACTAATGATGCATTCAAGTTAGCGGGTGTCAGTCTCTAGCGAACGGGGCAGCCGGCCTAAACATCTGTCCGAGATACTCCCACGCCATTTGGGTTTCCGATTACGTCAAAGGTGAAAGCTGAATCTGTATCTGAATCAGTCCCTTTGGTCACATTCTGTGGCTGTGGCTGTGGCTGTGGCTGTGGCGGTGTCGTGCGTTGAACTCTTCTTCTTGACATTTTAGCATGATTAATTTCCTGGGCTGTTTGTTTGCCTCGACGCTAATTTGTGTCAGCAACAAATAGCCTTGCAATACGAGACACCATGTCTAAGGGACTCTGAATTCGAGCTCTACTAAATCGGTTCATTTCCCTTTCAAGTATTTTCAATGTTATCAAGCCGCAAAGGAAAGTGTTTCGGGTGTGTTTTTCGCCGAATGCATTGCTAAATTGGAATTTCATTTTATTTAAATGAAATATGATTTAGTTAACAAAAATATATATAAACTACAATATTTAAGTTCTTAAAATTACTTAAACAGTTTAACTAGTGTTCTATTTTATTTAAATATAATCTGATTTAATTTTATTAAAAATATATAAAATATTTTAATTTATAACATTTTTATTTTATTTTTTGTAGCTTGAAATATACTAAAAATGTAAATTAAAAATTTTTGCTGTTATTATTGTAGATTTTTCTTTTATTATAAGCCATATAAAGGTATATATATATATATTTTTTTTTTTAAATATCATTTCGCTTGGTACTAAAATTATTATTAGCATAATTTTTTTTTTTTTTTTTTTTTTTATATATATAAAATATTCTAGATTCCTTATTTTATTCTAGTCTATATTTAAAGTTATTCAATTTACTTAGATAGTATATACATGGATTTTATTTTTTATTGAATCTTAAGTTTCTTCTTGTCTTCTGCCCTATACCACATCTTTTCCGCAAATTCAAAATGTTTAGAATTTGTACAGGTTTTTAAAGATGCATAGCATTTAATTAGCATCAAACATATTATATCATTTTTAACTAAACATCATTAAAAAAAGAAACATCACTTAATAGCTTTAAATATGCTTTAACATAAATATATTTAGAATATATTTTATAGTGGTGATCTGCCGCACATAAAAGCTATTTTAAACATTTTTTATAGATGTTGTTTTTTACCTCACTTAAATTTCAGCTGATTCTCAAATTTCTGCATCCTTAAGGATTACTTAAAAAAAAAGAGAAGTAACTTACCTCATTCACTTCCACATTAAGCAACGGCTGCATTTCATTTCAGTTCATTCATGAAAAAACTCCCTCAAGAGCTGACAGAGATATAAATAATAATTAAGAAAAAAACCACAAAATGAGAAAAATAAGAAGCAGAGCTGCATATTAATTTAATGTGAGCTCATTTTGTGTGTCTGTGTCTGTGTGTGTGTGTGTGTGGAGTTCTGAGAAGCATAAAAGGCGTCATTTATGTATGTTTTGTACATGCAGCGACAAAACTCATAAATTACAACCAATTATCAAATTAGATATTTACAAAACATGCACTTTAAATCAACGTCTTCTTCTTCTGCTTTATGAGTGGGTGCAGTGGCTGAGCAGAGTGTGGAGTGGGCGTGGCATGGCGTTTGCTATTTATGAGATTTGTCTTTGACTTTTTTATAGTCGAAAAAAAAGAAAGGAAATTGAATCAAAAATACTTGCAACAATCAATTTATTTTAATCACGTGCTGATGGCTGCAATTAAGCCGCGTTGCACGTTGCATGCCGCACGGTTGCAATTGGAAAAAATTAGCAGACAATGCACAAGTGACAGGCCTCGGAGCAATTAATTTAGTGTAATTACTCAGTGGACGACAGTTGACAAGTGGCAACTAGAGCAGCAGGGAAGAGCCCGCAGCACTCGATTGGGAGTTGGGCTAAGTTGCTGCTGTTGCTGCTGTTGTTGCTGTTGCCACCTCAACGCATCGATGAGATTTTGTCGAGCTGCATTTCGCTTAATTTCTTTGAGTTTGACTGCAATTGCGACGGCATTTTAATGAGCTGCAACCAAATGTTGTTCCCTTCTCTTCAAGTGGCGGCAAATTGCGGCCCCAAAACAAGGGTTAAAGAGTTGTAGTTGCTGTTGCTTCTGCTGTTGTTGTTGTTGTTGCGCTTGTCTGGGGTCTAGCTGCTTGTCTGCTAATTGGCCTGGGGCGCTCCTATTGCTGCCGTTGCTGCTGTTGTTGCTGCTGCTGCTGCTGCTGATATCAAACAGTTTTACGCACAAATTGAAACTGATTATTGTCGTTGTGTAGCCCTGATTTATGGTACTGAGTGATGAGCATATGTTTTAATTAATTTCCAAGAAAGTGTTTTGGCAAATGCCACTTAAGACAGACAGCGCCGTCGACTAGCTGCCGCTGCTGCACTTGTTGCACGCAACATCGAGCTGCTAAAAATGTAAACGCCACAACAGAACAAATCGCATAATCCACGTAGCAGCTCAGCCCAAAAGCCAAACGAGACGTAATTTAGATGTTG